ACTAGGCAAGCTCCCCAGTCAGGCCCCCCTCACACCAACCCAGCTTTTCTCAGGCTGAGGCACCTGGAACACCTTCCTGTCTTTGAAGTTTGGAAGACTCTCCCTCCCCTCGGCTCTGTGGGGAGCACCTGAGGAGGAACCCCACCCTCCAGGAGACCTACTCCTCCTGCCCTGTGTGACTCCACACCGCATCCGCCTGAGCTGCTTCCACCACCTTGTAGACAGACATGGGGAAGTTCCTCCTGCCCTTCTTCCACCCACCTTCCCACTCCCACTGTCTGGCTGGGAGATTCCACCACTCCTCCTTCTGGGACAAGCCCTTACCGGTTCATTCCGGAGAAGAAGACTTCAAAAGGTCTTGGCGCTCTCCCCTGATCTCCACACTCACTCTCCTTACCCATTCCACTGTGGAACTGGAGGCCACCACTCTCCAGGGTATGCAAATAAGCCAACAGGTGACTTAATCAACCTCCCTCATCAGGGGATCCCCACATTCACTCTGCTGTGAGCTGTCACAGCAGGATCCAGTTTGCTTTCTGGCTAATCTGTATACTTTGCTGTGACACAGGCCCTCTTTCCTTTTAAACTGCAGAAAGAAAGACAAAAAAAAAAAAAAAAAAAAGATCACTTTGGCCACCAGTCAATCTAGGCAGAGTGATAAGCACTTTGCCTGGAATTGAGGTCCTTGCTGCACTAAAAATAGCAGCTATGCCGACTATTGATCACCAGCAGCAGCACACTCCAGAGAACCCCAGGATGGGCCTCCGGACTCAGGAAATGCCAGCATCCCTTCCAGGTGTTGGGAATTTTGCTCTGTGTTGTTTTGCTCTACGTTAAATTTGGAAACTGACTAATAAATGGTTAAATGTGTTTGCCAGAAAATATGCAAGTGTAAAGCAACAGTTTCCAAATTCCCCGCAGAGCCTGGACGCAAGGGAACATTGGCAGCCTCGCCTGTTATTAAGAAGGTCACAAGATGCCATCTGTTACCCCGTGCACTTTACTGTTCAAGCATAACATCCACTAGGAGGTGACTGGATTGATTTTGCCTGTGAACCTAGGAGAGGGCACTCTCATGGGTACGGTGGTGATCTGGTGTGGACACTCTGGTACCAGCCTAGGAGAGGGGCTGGAGTTTCGATGGGGAGGAGATGGGAAGAGGATGAAGCATTGCTTTGAGGTCTTTCTTTAATTATGGCTCAAATGTGATATGGGATGCCACTGCCTGGTTTTCCTAATTTCTTATTGAGCCTAGTTTGAGCCATTTATAAAATATGATAACACCTAGCAGTTCAGGAGGCTGAGGAGGAGGATCTCGAGTTCAAAGCCAGCCTTAGCAACTTAAAATACATAAAAGGGCTCTAAATAAAATACATAAAAGGGCTGGGGATGTGGCTCGGTGGTTAAGCACCCTTCGGTTCAATTCCCAGTACCAAAAAGAAAAGAAAAAAATATGATACTAGCCTTCTTAGAAATTTAAGACAGATAAATGGATGCATATTCTTTTACTCACAATTTTACAAAATGTAAATCTGTAGAAAAGTTGAAAGAATATACCTCTCTCCTGGATTCACCAGTTGTTCACGTTTTGCTGCATTTGTAAGCTTTTTGCTCTATTTCAGTTTCTGCATACTGATATTTGCTTCTTTACTGGACTATCTAGAAAAAATTATAAACATCATATCAGCATGTTTTCAAAATACTTCAGCGTGTGTCTTCTAGGAATAGTGTTTTTTTCTCACATAACCACAAAAATTGTATCATACTCAAGAAATTTACCATTGATAGCCTAATTATTATCTAATACTCAGACCACTGAATGCCTTGTTCTTAAAAAATGTCAGAGATTTTCTCTGTAATTTATCCTAATGGTTAACAACTATCTGTGTAAAGCAGTAATACTTAATTTTTGAGACACTTTTAAAAATCTGATAAAAGCTTTGGTTCTATCTCCAGAAAAATATCCATAAAGACACTTACTCAAGCCAACAGAGCAGGCATTTTGGATTCTTCTTGCATCTACAGACTTCAGGTTAAGTGCTGTTAAGGTTTAATCTAAATTCTCATTCTTTGCTCATATATACTTAAGACCATAGTACCCCAAAACGGATGGAGAACGGTTTGTCTTCACCTTCCAACATTATGTTTTGTGTTCTGGAAGCTTCCATTTCAAGGAACTCAGAGTTTCAAGGACCTCAGAGATGGGTAATTATCTCCAATCTATTAAAAGAAAACTGAATCACAAACAAAGCTTACAGTTGTACTGTGACRGACACCCAGTAGAGGACTAAATGATTAGAAGACCTAGGAGAATCCTTCCAAATCGGAGCGTCTCACKAGCCTACACTTGCTTTTCTTGGTAATTTCCTTTTAAAAACCTGTAGCATTCCATCAGGGTGGGCACCACATTTAAGGACCAAATCTTAAGCTAGAATTTGTTGGCAGTTACTAAGATGGTTAGTTTCACCAATGAAATTGCCCAATTTGGTTATGGTTCTAGTACTAGGAAGTGGAAGGCAGTGAGCAGGGCACAGGCCAGTAAATCAGGGTAATGTTAAAGGTCGTTAATTAAAAGGCGAGGTGAAACTGCCAAGGTCAAGTTGCACTGTGAGCTCTGTTTTGTCAACTGTGAACTCAGGGAGCATTGGCTAGCCATTTTCCAACGCCTCTAAGTTTACTGGTATTGCTCTTCACGAACAGACTACAGAAAGTGAGAGACATTTCTAGCTCAGTTACAAAAATGACCAAGTTTGGCTAAAAGTTGGATCAGAATATGTAAATACATTATGCAATGTTCTGACATAAATTCTAATGTCTGGATTTTTAAAAGATATTTATTCCATAATGCGATCAAATGCCTCAAAATGGCTCTCTGTAAAACTTTAATATTATGGAGTCATATCAGTTACTAATTAATGATTATCTTGTATAATTCTTGAAGGAAGAATGATAAAAAACTAGCTGGGCCTCTGGCAGGCCTGTGGGATTTATAAAAGTCTTACAGAGCTTTGAAAGGCTAAGAATTCACAGAGAATGGGGCAATCAGAGCTAATTGTGCAGATAAACTTCTTATCCATCTGCTGTGGATAAGTGTTTTTTTTTTTTTCTTGAATTCAGCTAAATAATTGTCGAGCTCTTTGACTTTGGCTTAAGATACCTTTTTTAAAAAAAGTTTATCAGCACAAAACAACACAACTAAAATTCCTTTCTCTTGAATCATTCGTAATGGTCAGACCTTGTGATATTATGCCAAGCAAGGTTATGCTTAATAAAAATGCACTAGAAAACTAAACTTGATTAGTCATTAGAGAAATGTAAATTAAAAACACAAAAAGAGATAGTTCTCCACATCCATTATTGTTATGATCACAAAGACAGATAATCAAATGTTGGTAGAGTTTGGATTGGACAAAGGGGAGGTTGGGGAGGGGTTATGAGGGTGGGAAAGACAGTGGAAATGAGATGGACATCATTATCCTAGGTACATGTATGACTGCATGAAGGGTGTGTCTCTACACTATGTACAACCAGAGAATTGAAATGTTGTGCTCCATTTGTGTATGATGAATTGAAATGCATTCTGCTATAATGTATACTAAGTAGAACAAATTTTTAAAAATTAATTTTTAAAACATGTTGGTAGAGGATACAGAGGAACTAGAAGCTTCATTCATTGCTGGAGGGAATGTAAAACAGTACAGCTGCTCTGAAAAACACCTTGGCAGTTTCTTTAAAAGTTAAACAGGGGCTGGGGTTGTGRCTTAGCAGTAGAGCGCTAGCCTAGCATCATATGTGAGGTGCTGGGTTCAAGCCTCAGCACCACACACACAAAAAAACTAATAAAATAAAGGTATTGTCCAACTACACAACATATATATATATATATAGATAGATAGATAGATAGATAGATAGATATAGATAGATAGATAGATATAGATAGATAGATAGATAGATAGATAGATAGATAGATAGATAGTTAAACTTAGGGCTGGGGCTATAGCTCAGTTGGTAGTGCTTGCCCTGCATGCACAAGGCCCTGGGTTCAATCCCCAGCAGAAAAGTTAAAAATAAATCTACCATAGGATCCAGCAATTCCACCCCTAGGATTTCTCCTGAGAGAAATGAAGATACAATGTCTATACAAGACTTGCACATGGACTGGGATGTAGCTCAGTGGTAGAAGTTGGCTTTGCCTGTGTTAGGTCCTGGGTTCCATCCCTAGCAACACACACACACACACACACACACACACACACACACAGAAAAAGAAAAGGGGACACTTGCTATCTGACTTATTTGTAAATGCAATATTATTCAGTAATAAAAAAGAACAGAATAGTAAAACAGCCACGAAATAGCTGAACATAAAAAAATATTATGCTAAGGAAAAGAAGCTGGACGTGAGAGGCCACGTAGTGTGGAATTCTATTTATAAGAAATGACCAATAAAGGCAAATCTGCAGAGAAGGAGAGTGGATTTGTGGTTTTCTGGAACTGGTTTAGGGAAAGGGATTAACCGTAAACAGGCATGAGAGATCTCATTGGGATGATGAAAATGCTCTAAAATTGGATTATGGTGATGGTTGCATGACTTGGTAAATTTACTGAAAAATCACTGGACTGTATACTTCAAGAGGGTCAATTTTAAGGTGTGTAAGAAATACCTCAATAAGATTGGTTATAAAAAATACATCTGAGCTCCTTGAGACCTTAAGAAAAAGTACAGCATGGTTTTAGTTCTGATTTTAAGAATACAAACTATATATCACAGAACAATGCTCCAAGCATAAAGATATCTGCACGTTCCAAATTCCAGAAGACTGAAGACAAAGATAAGTTTCAGTCATGGTTTTGTGGTGCCTGACAGAATTACTTTTCTGTTAAATGCCAGAGGAAAACAAACGACGTGTGTACGTTGTGGTCATTARACTCAATTGGGAGTGTAAATTATCCTGTAACACTGGGTGTAATCCTGATTTCCCCTCTTCATTTGTATGCAGGACTGTTCCCTAATATAACCGGAACCTTGAAAAATTCGCTCAACGTCAAGCACAGAGTGGTAAGCCCAACATTCCTCATTGATCTTTTCATGTGGAGAACTTAAAACGATTGCACAATGTCCATCATTCATAAAAAACAAACTAAAAGGGGTTGGCATTTAAAAATGGATACTCATTCAAAAGTTATTCATCAAACATTGATTTCTAAAGTTTATCTCTGAGTGCTTCTTATGTGTATAGCTTTCTGTGAGACAATGGGCATAGAAAGATGCCATTATGGTTTGGATATGAGGTGTCCCCCAAAAGCTCCTGTTAATGCGGGAATAGTCAGAGGTGAAATGATCGGATTATGAGGGTTATAACCTAATCGATCCATGGACCACCATGAGCTGAGCAGCTTCCCTCTGCTGGGCCCTTCCGCCATGATGTTCTGCCTCACCTTGCATATGGAGGTGAGCAGAACACCACTGGACTCAACTCACCCTGAACTGAATCTCTGATCTTGTGAGCCCTAAGAAACGTTTCCTCCTCTTAGTCGGTCTTGTTGGGTATCTTAGTCGCAGCAACACAAAGGCTCACTAGCACAGTGGTGAAGTAATGATGCTTTCAGTGTCAGTCACCAACTTCCCCCTTTTCCACGCTGGGCATTAACCACAGGCAGTATAGTGGCAGTTCAGACCACAGCAGCTTTTCTCTGGTTGTGAACGTTCAAATGACACAGAGATTATACATAGGAACAAAAGGAAAAATCACCTTTCCTCCTGCAGGGCTGATCTCAATTCACACTGGAATGAACTTCCTTACTAGTTTCTCCATAGTTACGTACACATGAAGGTAGACACACAGTATATCCATGAGGGCATACAAGGCATTGTCCTCTGTGATCTGCTTATATCCCTCAGTATTTTCCTGGACATCTTTCAGTATTAATAAACAGAATTATTTGTCATTGTATATAATAGAGGCATAGAATTCCATTGACGGGATATATTATAATGTAAAAATATCCCATGTTACCAGACTTTTCAAATTTAAAATTATTAAAAAGTTATGATGACTAAAATTTGAAAATGTATTTTTGCAAGTGTAAATGAATACCTTTGGTGTATATTCCCGTGAGTGGAATTCTTGGGTCAGAAAACATATAATTTTTTTTATATTGGTAACTTGCCTCCCAGTAAATGAGCTTTATGCTCCGACAGAGAGTTTGTTTTCTATATTTTAACACTTGCTTTAGAAATTATCTGTTTTCCAGTTTGATAGATGAAGATATTCCCATTTTCTTTTCATTTTATTTTATTTGGTGATTGGTGAGGCTGAACAACTTCTGTTTATTTAGTTTCACATCTTTTTCATGAATTATAGTTGACTTTCATTATTTGTGGTAGCTGTGTTTTATACAGTTGTCACAAACACTGAATTAACCAATACAGACTCACTGCTCCCAGGAGGCTAGAAGGTTAGGTCACCATGAGCCTCCAGTCAACTGGTTAACACATAGCTTTGTGTTTGTGTGTGTTTCAGTTTACAGACACTTTACTTCATACTTGTTGTGACTTAACATTGAACTTGTGGCCAAAACACTGTAATAAAGCCAAATTAACACACCTCTTTTCTCTGTGGGCATGTCATCGTCTTCTTGAAAACAATCAAATCACCAAAAAAAATTTTTTTAAAGTGCAGACAATATGGTTGTAAATAGACTGCAGAGAGCAGGCTCGATTACAGTAGGACTGTTCCAACAAGGAGACCTTCCTTGTTCACCTTATTTGACCTCAGCTGGGAAGGTACATGTCAGGTGACTCAAATTTTTTGGCCACTCTGCCGCATGTCCACAGATGACCGCAAAAGTGCTAAGTATTAACCGTGGGGTTACACATAAATTTTAGCAAGTAGGTGAATTCATAAATAGGGAATCTGTGAATAATGAAGACAGTATATTTCCTCTGCCCATTTTTCTACTAGTGTTTTGTATAAACCATTTACACATTGAGAAAGTCTTTTGCCTAGCCTAGTTTATAAAGATTTCCCTCAGTTTTTGTCTTGCCATTTTACTGTTATCATCTGTTATCACGGTGGCTTTGGACAGCAGTTATCAAGGTGCCTTTTGAATGGAGGGGGTGCGGGGTGGCAGCGAAGAAGGCATTTCATCAGATTTCTAGCACTGGGAAAGTCGTTGGTATTTATTCCTAACTCTTTCTTTTTATAGGCACACCAGGTTTGGGGTTTTGGTGATCTTTCTCGGGCACCTCCAAATTCCAGAAAAATATGTAAGTCCCGTTCTAATCTAGCATTTTGTATCTTTTGTCTTGATTTTAATCATGATCTTCATCTGATATTTTTATGCCTCCCATAGTCTAAGGCCATTCGAGGCCCTTTGCCTGTTGATTTCCTGCCTCTGTCACTCATCCTGTTGGTCCATTGTATGTCTCTTAACAATAAGGAAGACAGAATGAAGAAATGACAGGAGGGAGAGACCCAACACAAACATTTGTCACTCAGCTAGGGGGGAAAAAAGCATAGATCTGCAGAGGATGGGGGCAGAGGAGGGGTGAGAATGGGAGGGTGTGGGATTATTGGTAAGAAAGTATTTTTGGGACATCGATTTCATTTATTTCTCCTGCAGCCGACTGTTCACCCCCCCCCCCCGCTCTAACACATTGGATGTCTCCTTACCCTAGGTGTGAAACCTAAAAAAGTTTACTTTGACATCCTGGAGCATTGCAATCGTGGAAGGAAAAACTTCCCAGAGACTGTAAGATTCTTTTCTCCTTGTCCTTCAGCAGTGGATCTCTGGGGAAAGTGGGCTTCTGGGTGTCTCCATGTGGCATTGAGAATGGTGGCACGTGCACCTGAAGCCAGTCTAATGCAGATCCTCTGGTGTGTAACCAGGGGAGAAGGGAGCTATTCTGATAAGTAGGCAGTCTTCCCAAAGGTGCCACCAACAGTTCCTTTCATGGATCTTTCCAGTTGTTTAGGAAATAAGGCTCAAAGAGGCACTCAGGGATAGGAATTTCCACTGTATTGACCAAATTCTCATCAGCAGTATAAGGGAACTGTTGTATTCTGCCTCTTGTGATAAAGGCAGTAAGTTCTCCGATTTTCCCTTGGTGGGGAACCATCATGGGTGCCCAGGGACCTGGGCCTACCCTCCTCAAGTACCTGTCCTCCACCCAGTATCTGTTGCCCCTGCTCTCCCTGACAGGGTCCTTCCAACAGGGGCTCTGGCTTTCCTGATCACACTTTATCAAAGAGAGTGTTAAAACAAGATCCCTTTTATGTCTTAGAGTCCTGGCAGAGTCCTAGGGAATAAGCTGAAAGAAATAATAAAAAGTAGTTTCTGCACATGCCCTACTAACTTCATTTATCACAAAAGTTAACACTCTTTTTGTTATCCTATGATTTTTGTTAAGATTTCTCTTTAAATTGATTTAAAAAAAAAAACCCTCAGACTCATCTTAATTATGTTTGCAATACCGTGGGTCTTGAGAACTAGTTATGTGTACTAGGGGGAAAAAAAAAATCTGACCATGCAAATAAAAAGGTATCCAACTACCATCTAACATTATCACAAGAACCAGCAAATATATAAATACACATATATATGTATATACACATATATATGTATATATATGTATTTTATATATATGTATTTTATAATATATGTATATATCTTTGAAACTGCTGGTCTATGAGCACCAGTGAGGAAATCTGATAAATTTGGCTGAAGGGACAGGGTTGGATGGCTCACCTTAGTTCCCAGACAACCAGTTTATTTTAATGGCAGGCTTTTAGAAAAACGAACTTTCTGCTTTAGGACCAGGATACCTTCCCAGGGAGCATTTCAAGCACAGAAAGGCAGGACCTGTGCATGCTGTGTGTGTGTGTGGGGGGGGGGTAGTTATTTGGGGTCATTTGAAGCTGGACAATCCATGAAGAGTCACATGGTGTGGGCACTCAGGGGCCACCCCTCACTGTGGGGTTGGTGCACCCCTCACTGTGGGGTTGGTGACCACTTCTAGGGAGGATAGATGATTTCCTGAAAGTATATTTACTGCTAGATGGCCTCCTGGGATTTGCTTGGGACAATCATTAACGACTGTTAAATAAATGAAACCTCTTGCTATATGGAGTTGTACAATGCCAAGCAATCCCATTGCCAGTCAGTGTCCCCTGCTGTTTTGGTGAACAGTTAGTTGTCTTCCTCTGCAACGTGCTTCCCTGACCCCTACCCTAAAGTAAATTCCTCATACTTGCAGTATCTTCTTTTAAGTCTACCATTCCTGACAAGTGAGTGACATTATACCCTGTTCTTGCTTTTGTGATGCAATAATAGGCTAAAAGGAGACACACACACACACACACACACACACACACACAATCTTAATTTGGGGAGCTTATTTAAGGGAAACCTGGGACCTAGAATTTTGACTTTTTATTTATAAGACAGAGGAAAATCTTAATATTTTTAAATAGGTGCTAATATTTTGGGGTAGAGGGAACAAATATGGGATGTAAAACTGTACACATTCCTGGGTTAGCAACAAGTAGGGATTGAAGGAAAATTCCAACCATCATTAGCAATATTCTTAACTTTCAAAAGTATCTTCTTAGGGCTTAGCATCTTTGGTAACTGTCCTCTAAATTATTCATATTTCTGGGTCCTGACTTGAAGAAGTTCATGATGTAAAATGGAAGATAGAGCGTTCACACCCAGAAATGTGGGCCTTAAGAAGTGGTGGTAGAGACACGGGGTGGGAGGGTGTTTAGAATGTAAAGCCAAAGAATGATCATAGAGCCTTTTCTTTTTTTTCCTGCTTATTGATCTGGCCTTCCTGATTAGAGACACAGATATTTGAAATGAGAAGGTCAAAAAGGATGGAAGAAAATGCAGGGGTGGGAAACCCAACTCCTGCTCATGAATGATGTCTGACTTGAAAGAAGCAATTTAATTCCCAATTCTGTGGGAAAAGTGACCTTTGCGGATGAGCGAGTGTTGACAATAAGGCCATTTTTCTCCAGCTTTACAAACAATGTGAATCTGAAAGCAAGATTTTGGGCTCCTCCGAAGACTCAGAAGGTGGTCAACACAGAGGTGGTCAACACAGTGGTTATGGCCGGGGAAGGCTGCTGTCATTATTTGACTGACTTGGAAGATGAAGCCACAAAGCTGGAGGCCTGCAGTTTGGGTGATTAACGACTCTGAGGTACGAGGGGCCCTGCAGTATGTGGACGTTGGCAGGTGGGCTTGCTCGGACTCTTCCCTGGGCTTCCACTGCCCCCACCCCTCCTTGCTGTTGTCGTGTGTGTTTTAATTGGCTGGGGACAAAAGTTATCATTATAAATAAGTGCTAAATTTTCCTTTAAAATAAGTTCCTGGAACCCAGATTCCTCTAGAACAACCATACAAACGGTGATGTGGCCCTGGCGGTKGGGGGTTATAGCGTCAAAGAGCCAGTCCCCTGCCTCTGGGAGCCCAGGAGGGGCGCAGGGCCAAGAGAAAGGCCGCTTTGTATTCAGAGCATGGCACAGTAGAGTGGGCGCCTGCCACCGCCAGGTCTTCCTCGCGCCAGCCGCCACCAGGAGGCAAATGGACTCCGCCTGGGGCTCGGGAAGGGGCGACCCGGCCGCGGTGGACGCGGCTGTCGCCGCCTTTCACGCCTGACTCTCTCGGGAGCCCCAGGCCCGCAGCCCCGCCCACCTCCCACCCCGTCGCGATCCTGCCCCGGCTGCGTCCGCCCCGGGCCCTACGTTCCTCCTTCTCCCTGCAGGGCCCTCCTCCTCCTCGGGCATCCAGCGGCCCCCGCTCCCCGGCCCCGCCCACGGCCCTCCCCCGACTGCAGCCACACCCCGCTCCCCGGCCCCGCCCACTATCCCCGGCCCCGCCCACGGCCCTCCCCCGACTGCAGCCACACCCCGCTCCCCGGCCCCGCCCACGGTCCCCGGCCCCGCCCACGGTCCTCCTCCTGCTGCAGCCCCACCCCGCTCCCGGCCCCGCCCACGGCCCTCCTCCTCCCTGCAGGATCTTCCTCCTCTGCTGTCCAACTGCTCCAACGCCCCTGAGCCGCCCAGAGCCTCCTCCTTGCTGGATCCTCCTCCTCCTCCTCCCGCAGGTCACCCTCCTCCCTCCGCTGTCCGCACGTGGACCGCCAGTTTCTCCGGGGCTCTACGGTCCTTCCCCGCCCGTGCCGAGCGCGCTGGAGGGAGGGGCTAGGAGTGGCGGAGGCGGTGCTGGGACCCCCGGCGCGGGAAGGGGCCAGCCGCCGCCGTCCGGGGCAGCTTGGGGCCCCCGCAGCTGCTGCCTTGAGGAGAGGCAGAGCAGGGTCTGGTTTTTGAAAGCGGCCACCTCCTCCTTCCCCTTTTTCCTCCACGGCCCTCCCCCGCCGCCTGCTCCCATTCACTCCCGTTTACTAAGCTTTGCCCTGCAATTTATAATTGCTGTTGAATCGAAAAGATAATTAAAAGTCTCATCACCACCCCTAAACCCCTCTTAGTGATTATTTTTGTCCTTTAGCCCCAGGTTGGGCTAAATAACATTCCCTAGGAGCCATCTGGTCTGATTCCCGGGAACTTTTCATATGGTTTCCATTAAGCTCGCCAAAACCCTGCATTTGAAAATGCGGCCCTGGAGCCGCTCCGGAACCTCCAGGATTTCTGCCCTGGCCAGTCTGGTTGAGAATCTCAGGCAGAGGGAGGCGAAGGCCTCTGCTTAAGTTCCAAGTTTAGTACCTAAGGCTCCTGATCTGAGGCTGTAATGACTGTGCCTGCCTCAGGACTCCATGGAAATTTCGGTTCTCCATAGTAATGGTTATCATTCATTTGGCAGCATTTGTTTTCCATTGTATGAAAGACTTAGCTTGTTAGAATTGTTTTGATTCTAAAATTTAATGTTAACGGCTTTACAGATGAATTTGCAGAAATAACCTGACCACAGAAATTCCGTGTGACCAGAAGCGTTGGTATGGCAAGGTCTGTACCTCCTTCCCATGCTTTTGCCCCATTCCTCTAACCCCCATAGGAAAAACAAATGTTATCTTGTGCAAAAATATTCTCTCACCCATGGACTAGGGTTTGTAGTCCAAGCCACAAGGCTGTAACAGGCAGGTTCATGGAATCAGAGTGCTAATCTCTGGAAAGTTCCTCTGAATTTATCAAAGATAAATCTTCCAGATTATGGAGGAGACTCAGAAAGTGGAGGGGCATAGAGAAGGTTGCATGGCTGTGTCAAGTACTAACTCTGAGTCATGCAGCGGAGTTTAGGAGTGTGGGTGGGGAGGAGACCCTGCCACCAAGTGCTCTCTCAAACACAGCAGAAAGGATTTGGGTCAAGGTGAATTCATTGGTGGCAGGCACTCCTTCACATCCTCTCTCTCTTCTGCCTGTCATCTGCAGTTTCCTCTGTCCTGCTTTGCCTGGCCTGTTTGGGGAGTTCTAGCCCTTTCTCCCCTCTTCCTAACCTAGGTTTCACTCTCTTCTTTTTTTTCTTCACTTTGCTTTCCTCCCTATTCTCCTAACCGTTCCCCTCCCTGCCTTGACCGTGTGATTTTATTTGGGTTTTTAAAATGAAACCGGGTGCTACATAAAACAAAGGCAAAGTAATAACCAGGAAAGACTATCCAACGCCTAAGGAATGTGCTGAGTTTTATGACTCAGGCTGCCCTGGCAAAGAACTGGGACTGACATGGAGAGGTGGGTGGCACAGAGCACAGACCATACATGGCAGCCCTGGTCTCCCCAGATAGGATGGTCAAGGCATCCTGTGACTCACTTCTCGAAAACCAGAGATTCTTGTTCCGTGTGTGACAAGACTTCCTGGAGGCTGGAGCCAAAAGGTCATCAACTTTTCCCTGTGGGGCCAGATCCCTCTGACGGAGCAGGGGCCACTCTAGGGGAAGAGCCAGGCAAAAGGCCATCTCTGGGAAAGAAGCAGGCTTGATGGACTTGGGCTAGGGCTTCGGTGCATTTGGGAGATGAACAACGTGTAAGCTGCAAAGTGACATGAAAATTAGCATGTATTGTATTGGAGACAATGGCTTGGGAGTTCCTGGTGGCAAGAATTGTTGAAGTGCCTGGAGGAGGGGAGTGGAGAAGTGCTCCCTAGCTCTGGGGGACCCAGGGGTGTTTGCTCTGTGCAGCAAAGCATGAAGCAGAGAAAGAACGCCTCAGAGCTTGGTGGGGCTTCTGGGTGCCATTCCCAATGCCATGGAGGGGCACCCGAGAGCTCAGGCACACATCTCACATTCTGAGAATTCTTTTCAAATAAGCATAGGAATGGGGTGAGGTGTACATTTTTTTCTGTTACTAAGAGACAGACAAGAGCACTAAGGAGAACGTGTCTCCTAGCAGGGGTGGTGGGAGGGGTCTGAATTGCTCTGGTGACAAGGATCTGTCTGTGCTCCCTTCATTATACAGGACAGGGTGGCACTAAGGGGACTCATAGTCCTCCTTCTGGTGTCCGCCACCTCGGAGAAGGCTGTCACTTTTGGAAGGAGAATGAACCTTGACTGGCATAAATGAGATCTCCTCGTGTGGCAGCCTCATGGAACGGGGACTTGTTTTTCCTTTCCTTCTTTTTTTCTTTTCCTTTCCATGAAATACCCACCGGAAAGCTATGGTGGCCATTCTATAATTGCAGGAAAAGCTCTGCTWAACTTTTTCATGAAAGTCTATGTACCTGGATAAACACAGTCTTTTAGGGCCCATGACTTCATAAATATTTATAGCGTGGACAGGCGTCACTCTGGTTCTGAGGGAGAATGGGCTCATTCAGGTTTATTTATGATGTGACACTTGGGTGAGTGACATCCGTCATCTGGGTCGGCCCTACACTCTGTTCCACTGAAGCATGTTTATGGAGTGATTAGGCCGGCAAATATTTGCTATATTTAGGCTCTCTCCTCTCCTAACCCCCTCCTAAGTCCCCAAACCAGCAAAAAGCCAGGTTTATGGTCTAGGGGAGATCTGAACCCTAATGACAAGGCACAGGGGCTTGAGCACATGCTGTGGAAGCACATGACAATCAGAAGGCAATTAGAGGGGGAATGCGGACTTCCTAGAGCACTCTCCTATGAAGATGGTGGTGTCGCCTGTGCTTAGCAGGTGAGGGCGTGAGGGGTTTTGACAGGTGCCGAGCTGGGCCCTGAGTGATGAATGCAGATGGACGCCGATGGAACTTTTTCCTTTCAGGGAGTTTCTCCGCATAGTATCTGCCAAGTCTTGGTGGGGGCTCCGTGACCTCATTAGGGTCAAGGTCTCTAGTGTCCTGAGGCTTTTCCCTCTCAGCCACACCTGGCCCTGGGCCGGGGGAAGCAGCTGTCCTTCATCAGCTGTGGAGGAGGGAGGGAGGGACTCCTCTGGCTTCCTGGTGTCACAGCTGCACATACCCTGGCCTGGGCATCTAGACCCACTTCAGGACGCAGTCTTTGCCTCTGATCGGCTGGTCCACCTATTGTTTATCCCAGGAAGGGCTAGGTCTTGGCACAGGGGCATGAAGCGTGGCCAGCGTTTTATTTTTAGAGATAGGAAAATGTCTGCTTTTTGGCAAGTGCTCTTTTTCTGGCACACACCAGGGATGGTGTAAAAAAGCTCAAGTGAGAGATTCCCGGCCTTAAATTCATGGCCTATGACATAGGCAACAGCACCACGGGTTTCTCAACAGAAGCCTTTGTGGAGCCTGAAATATTTCATCAGATGGCCTCCTGGGCAGAGCAGTGGCCCTCCTGCTACACGCTGGTGGCAAAAGTCCTCAAACCCTGTATCTTGGCAGCTTGTGAGTCTCTTTCAAGTGCATCAACTGGTCAGAAATACTGTTCTTACCTCCTTTCGCCTCTTCATCTGTCAATCCATAATTCCAGTTCAACTTGGAAGGGAGAGCAGAAGACAGTCTTCTCCACTCCATGTTCATCACTCCTCCTGATATCATCATCATCAGGACTCAGATGAAGGCAGCCAGGTTCCACGGCAAGAATCAGTGATTAGACTCAGGAACTGCATTTCCAAGTCATATTGGAATTGATATTTTTCCTAACATGGTTCCTTTTTAAAGCATGCTTTGTAGGTCCTGTAATTCTGGCTAATGAAAATCTATCTCATCAGCATTTTGTTAACTGTAATGACATGTTATGCAAAGGTAAAATAAAAAGCAGTAGAAGTAGAAAACTAAGTTGTGTTTTCCAACATTCCTCTCTCCCCAACCTTTGAGAAAAATTACTTTCCTATTATAAAAAATAAGCCACAAATGAACACCTTCTCCTTTACTGCTTAATAGCCCAAGATTATCTTTTGGGTTCATTTTTCTTCTTGCTGGAGTACATCCTGTGGTAGGTTTTCTTTTGTTCTTTCTCCCTTCTCCACCAGAGAGTATGTAATAAATTTTCCTGAGGGCTTGTGTGAGAATTTATTTTGATCTCTTTCTGAGTGTTAGTTGGCCTTTGTTATAGAACCCCAAGTTTGAAATGTGAGCATTTCTAAGCTGTTGTTTCATTGTTTTCTTGAAACTGCTGGGGTAGAGGAGCAGTCTCCTGTTATTCTGAACCTCACCACTTTGTAGGGAATCTCTCTGAATCTTATTGTACATTGCAGGATTATCTTTTTCATCTTGGTGTTCTGGGTTTTCTTTTGACGTTGCTATGTGTGAATTTATTTTTCAAGTTTATTTCCCTTGGAACTGATAGGCTCTTTCAATCTGAGGGCTCAGGTCTTTTATTGGTTCAGATGCGGGGCGGAAAGAAGAAACTAGAAAGATTAAAATTGATGTGTATAACAAAGGGCTAAGGAAGAGATAGGAGGACTGTGTGCTTGAGTGTAGGGAGGAATTTCAGGGCGTTACAGAGAAAGGGAGAAGAGTAAGGCTTCAAGGGATTCTTGCTTAGTTTGGTAAGAAATAAAGTATCTAACGAAGATTTTTAAGATCTCTGGAAGTACATTTAAAATGTATTCCCCTCTTTGGTGTTTCATGGAGGAATAAGACTTCAGTTGCTTTTAAATATATATATATATATATATATATATATGTATATATATATTTTTTTGTGTGTGTGTGAAATTATTATTTTTATGTGATTTATGCCAAGACTGAACCCTAAGACTGCCCTTTCTCTCTCTTTTCTCTTCCCTCCCCTCGCCTTATCCAGGCTGCACGTTCTTTTTTTAATGTGATGAAGAAATGGAATCCGATGCATTAAAGTCCCACCGTTTCTGGAACTCTCTCTCTCTCTTACTCATTTGTCACCTACCTACTACATATTCTCTTAGATGGCTAAGAGTTATAAGAAGCATCGACAAGTAATTTGTTCACTCAGTAATTGAATTCGTTACCAGATGAGTTGTCCTAAACCAATGATAGATTTGAGTAGAAAAGACCGTACAGTGGCCAAGCTTAGGGCAGGCCAGGACTCAGCTTGGGCTCTGACACCTGAAGTCCTGCTCCCCTCTCCAGAAGTTTAGTATTGGAGGCTGGGGCTCTAGAATATTAAACACTAGGTTTCCCCTTTGAGGGTGGTGAGTGGCCTCCAGGGGCAGGATTTGAGAAAGGCTCAAACACAAACATGTCAACCAGCAGTAGTGTCTCTGAGCAAACAAAGGCAGAAGATGCAAACAAAATCCAGTTTGGCTTCTTTCCACTTTGAAGTGTAAATATTGAATTTTTTTTATCACCTTTTTGAAAAGTACTAAAATTAGGTGTCAAACTTTCCCAAGTGTAAGGAATATGGGAATAATCATTGAGGGTCTGTATTCTCCTAGGAGATTGTGTTGTTTCTTCTGTTCCTAATACACGCATTAAAGGGTTTGATGGGATGAGACAGTAACCATATGCAGCCTGTGTAATCTGAATTACTCACTCCCCTAACAGGTAATTAGGCACCTAGTGGCTGCAGCTCAAACACCCTTGACCAATACTATGCTCCTATGTGTCAGATGCTGCTGTTTACACTAGAACTTGAGACATGGGTAGCCCCTGCCTGGGTAAG